TCACCCTATATAATATACCTCACCGATATGAATATAATTGTTTTCTCATGTAAATAGTTGTGCGCCTATTTTTTCTTCCTCAATATTATTCGTTCATGCTATACTTTCTTAATTCTTAATAATATTATTTTAGGTCAAAAACATGCATTATATCAAATTTAAACTATGATGCTGTTCGACCAAAAAAAAAAAACTATGATGGTGATACCACAATGATAATTATAACTAATACAAGCTATTGTACCACACATCTTGATCCATTCATCACATGGCAAAGCATCGACACAATCTTGCAGTAATCTGTGTGTTTGACTAAAATGTTCTATAGAATTATTTATTTATTGTAATATATATTTTATTGTTAGATTTGAGGTATCATATGATTAATCTATTACTGAGCTTTATACATCGAATTTGGAACCTTGGAGAAGTAGCTATCCACTTTTAGAAATTAGAAGTAGGTGACTGATTGGCGCTTAATGTTTGGTTTACTGTAACAAATGAATATTTTTCAAGATGGAAAATTATTTGATAACGGGTAATTTATATGTCCTAAACGGATAAAGCAACGTACTACTCCATATATAGCAAGACTCGCTAACAAAATGATTTTACCCTAAAGAAAAATTATGCTCGTCAAACTTAAATTTAAAATGATCTAATTTACAATTACTTCAATAGTTTTACAACATTATACCAATTTATTCACATTTTGTTCCGTATTCTTGCTGGTAGAGTATAACCAGTTTCAAGAGAAATAAGAAACTAATTATTATTTACACTATTCAATATACTCTAATTAACGTCGATATCTAAATTCTAAATTTTGAAAAAGATATATTGTAAGCGACTTTACAAAATATTCTCATTGGGGCAATCGTCATCTTTTGTCAAACTCGATTAATGAGACTATGTTCTGTATTATAGGTTTTAAATTAGTAATAACGTAACATATAAAACATGAATAGGTCAATTTGTGTATCCAAGAAGTGTCGTGTGTGTCTCGGAGAGATTTTCGAAGTGTTTTCGGTTTTTGTAGGATTGTCGAATAAGGCCACACAAAAAAGCTTTGAAGGACGTAAGCCGAAGGGCTCGAGCGGTCAATGTTGTTTGGTCAAACACACATAACGTTAGCAAAATCCTCCCAACATTATTCTCGGATGGCTCCTCTTTTTGACGTTAGCTTACTTGGCATTTTTAAATAGAAACATATTCTTAACTTTCCAAATGCATTGAAATGTATGTTAACATACGATCTTATTGGTGCATAACATACGATCCTTATGAATATTAATTGTGTTATTGGTGCATAGTGATCATTTATGGATGGAAACGATCATGAGGATGTTAAATTATAGGAATATCGATATGATAATGTGGAGTATTACGGAGTCACATCGCCATGGTAAATAATATTAGCGTACGATTAGACAAACACGCGCTGAGTATATATGTAATTTTACTTCGAATTCTATAAATAATGTTTGTTTATTAGTATAAACGTTCCTTTCACTGATGATATATTGATATTACAAGTATATATGCAATTTTCTTTTACAAAGTCTTTTCTTCAAAATACCACTATTACAAATTGTAATTAATCCATAAAAATTATGGATGGCCTATTAGGAAAAAAAAGATTTCAAAATACTTTGTACTATAAGAATATATAGTAAAAAAAGTCGAAATATTACAAATACTGAGTATACATAGTTTGGAGGATATCCACCCTATAACAATGGAAAGATTCACCGTCACTAATAGAAATGCAATTGGAATCACCCATGCAAGAAGAACGACATGACAGCTCATAGTATAACAATGGTGTTGTAGTTAATACCAACTTGGATACATCAAGTTTCAAACTTAAAGGCACCAAAAAAGAAAAGTAGAGAAAAGAGAAAAGAGAAAAGCTAGTTTGAGCCAAAAGCAAGAAGAAATGAAATAAAATACTTAAGATTAATTATTTCTGATATCGGAGGGCGAGCATTTTGTTTATCAATGGCCTTTGTCTATTCCCACTACCTTTTTATTATCTTTTGTTCTTCAAAAACATTATTATTTTTTCTTGAGACGATGAAAATTTGAAAGACGTAACCTTTTTTTAAGAAGGAAGGCATCAAAACAAAAATGGTCAATTAATCTTTTTGCCATGCAAATTTATTTATACCTTCACAAGGGATCGAAGTTTATAATACATCAAAGTTTGGAGGATATCATCTCATCTCTTTTGCGCCCCAACTTGTCAATTATTTTTTTAGTTATGTTCAAATTTAGGAAAGTAGCTAGATCGAGGATAAAAATTACGAAGACGGTCTACAAGTTTGGTTCTCGACCAGAACCATTTAAACGAGTGGAAAAATATGAAAATCTAGCTTTCCTTTTGAACTCTTTTTCAAAAAAGTTGTAAAAAAACTTTTTTCTTTTGAATATAATTTAATATTAGATTCAAAAAAAAAAAGAGGATAAAAATTACGAGTTTAACAGTAACGAAAATCTTGTATTTTGGTCTAACAATAATTGGTAAACCAAAAATCTAGATCATGCATGGATCAATTTTAATTTGACAGATTCTTTCGTCGGCCACATTATAATTTACGTAGCAGTTGTAGATTTTTGAGATTGTCTAATTAAGCTTTGGCTTACGAAAGTCCAATTATTAAAAAAAAAAAAAGCTTTATTTGGTGAAGCAGTCTTAAAGAACAGATAATCAAAAGGTGTGTTCATTGAGGTGGAGGATAGGATTCCCTTTATAGCGTCACTTTATGTCTCGCACTATTTCTGGCCTAAGTCAACCGCAAAAGCTGAACTCTTTTTTAGTATCTTTATTAGTCTTTTTCGTCTTAACACTAAAGAAATTATTGGCTGCCTCCTTGCATTACATGTGAGAATCAATTCAAAATATTGGGTGTGTTTTAAAGAATCAGTTATACTTGATATATGTATAAGCACGAAGCACAAATGCCCCCCAATCAACCACTTAGTGCTTCTACACGCATCTACACTAAAAAAATCACATTTTGATCAAAACTGATACTTAGTCTAAATTTCTAAGGAATTTGAAAGTTCTATTATACTGCAAGGTAAGTTATCCCTCAAACTTTTATATACTCAATGGGAGCTTTGGTGAGTAGACTTTTTGCCATAAACTGTTCCCTGGAGAGTCATGTCCTCCTGTCACTCTAGCGATTCTCTCGGCCTCAGGACTCAAGTCATGAACAAACTTCACTGATTCAGATAATCGGTTGAGTAGATTCATCAGCGCAATCACTTCATTCCTTTGCAGTTCAAGCTGCAAAAGCAAATGATAATATCGGTTGAGTCAACATAATGCCATGCCCAAGGGAGAAGTAAAGAAAAATATACAATTCTATCAGATTTCAAAAACTGGACAATGTCTCTCCAGGTGTGTTTTATGAGTAGCAACGTACATTATGACGCAGATTGTCTTCACCGTTGACAGTGAAAAGGATTTTCAATGCAGTGCCGAGGCCAAGAATCTGGAGCTTTCCCCATAGACGGCATTTCTCACAGCCTACACAGTCCATTATTGCACTGCAAGGACATCAATAAATAGTGTATAAGGGATTCAACTTAGCTAGTCATTACATAACTTAATACTCAAGAAAGGACCAGTAACAAGCAGAGACACACGATAGAGAAAATTAGAAATGCTAGTTAAGGATTCAAGAAGGACCTAATGTTTCTGAACTGTTTTTGTATTTGTTGTTTCAGTTCTGGTCCACGTTGGCCCTTCCAGAGCTTAGCTTCATCAAATGGTAGAGGACAAGCTGCTTTGGTTTTGGGGTCACTAACTAGTTGTTTCACCAGAGATTTGGTCTTCAAGTCCTCGATTACATTACCAGTCTCATATTCAGCCTCTCCCAAGTAATTTTCTGCCTACAAATCATGAAAAGAAGGAAAGAAACTAATTGTGATTATTCTAGTCAATTGAACCTCTTTTCTTTGGACTCGGATAAAGAAAAGTGATAGTAACTGACCTTTGTTACTGCTCTGAGAACAAACAAAAATGTAAAGTATAGGTTCCGAACGCGATCTGGGTATCTTAACACACGATCATATAACAATGTCAAGTTTTGACCCCACTGAAACACAAATAAAAAGGAGATCATTGGATCATTCTGTAGTTCTGCTCAAGAAACATACATTGCGGATGAGACAGATTCATGAGGTAGATCTTACCAAGTTTGTAGCTTCATCAAGTAAATAATCCGATGCTATATGAATTGAAATAGATGAATGAAGGCCAGAGATCAATTTGTACAATATCTTTTCTTCTTGACATGACTGTTCAGATGTATCTACTCATCACATAGAAGCCAGTATAATTGCAGGGGTTAGGAATACTTATGAATGGATATATAAGGATAAAAAGAAACAAATCGACAAAACAAGAATCGAATAGTGACGCTTACATTTGGGACAGTTCTCAGAGTATATAGCATCCCATATCCTTCTAGCTGACGGGCCAATATAGCCAGTGTACCGTTCAGGATTCAGTCGAAGATTAACATATGTCATTTCATCTGCAATCATATATTTGTTCATCAAACACAATGCAATTCAATACTGAAAACACTACTTGTTACACAGTCTCATGAGCCAGAACTGAGTGATAAAGTGTTGACATGTAAGTACAGTATGCGTAGAACATACAAAAGACTCAAGAAACAAAGAGGAAAGTTTTGTAGACAGACCGTTGTCAGTTTCATCATCACTTGTCCATGGATTGTCTGTGACTGTCCAACCCCTGAAGGCCCTCGTGTCAACGGTACGGTCAACAGCAGCTTGTGGTTTCCCTTCTTGGCAAACAGGATTTTCTTGGCTTAATGGCTTCTTAAATGGTTCAGGGAACTCGCTCTCAGGACATTCACAAACACTACAGTCTCTTAAACGGCACATGCCATCATCAGGCCAAAACGGGCAATCACACCACAGTTTAACCTAGTAAATAGAATCAGATATAATCATAACAGGCACCTCCAAAAAAGTCTCTATCTAATCGCAGGAAGACAAAGACCATCACTTGTTTCAAGAAACAAGAACAAACCTTGAAATATCGATAAAATGGTGTCTTAACAAGGGCTTCCAGCAACGGATGCAACACTTCCTTGTTCAGCCGATTTACCGTCTCGTAATCACAACAACAATCTTCGATCATCCCAATGTACTTCTGCTGCTCAGCCTAAAACTCAAATCAATAGAAACTGAGAAACCGATGTAGCAAATAAGATAACAAAACGAAATCCCAAGAGCAAAGACGAATTTTTGTTTCTTGATTACCAATTCAAATCTAAGCTCTTACGAAAAAAACTCTAACCTAAGCTAATCATGAGCTCAAAGAAGACGAATATCAATTCGCGCTATCCCAATTTCTAATCAGAGGCTTACAAGAGCTTAAAGAAACACACTCACCTGACGGCAATTGCAGAACTTTCCGGTAAACCCATAAATCGAAGAATTCGGAGTATTGAAAAACACGGCGGCCACGACGGCTAAAAGAACGGCAGCTATAGCGCCGATCAGCAAAATCAAGCGCTTCGCCGATCCTGTCTCCTTTCCCTTAACGGTCCCGACGTCCGTCTCCGCCATTCAGCTACCGCAAATGAACTTTTAGCTAAGAATATTTTCTCTGTTAGGTTGCTGACAAAAATCTGACACAGACGACGAGAGATCTCCGGCACGGGGATGTTTCCTGTTAAAGAAAGCTTAGAGAAATGGTGGGCGTTTCTCGTACAATCAGTTTTTACAAAACCGCAACTATAAATATAAAACCAACGGCGATCACAAAAAGTCAACTAAACCAACGGCTGGGATTCCTATTTAATATTTTCGTGGATTATGTTCATAAGAAACCTCTAGTCATGCGCTAATTAAAGACGACTCATTGACTCTTTGGATTTAAGAGAATACCAATGTTATAATTTCATGCACAAGTCTCAGAGGCTTTAAGAAAAACAAGCCAAGGTGAATTATACAGACCTCTCAGATGCTTATCTCTCTGTCTTGAAGGTAAAACTTATGTGGCTTTTTGACTATCTCTCTACATCTTCAGGAGGACTCTGTTTTGATCTTAAACACATAAAATGATTTATTTATTTATTCTATTTTTGTCTACATATATTTTTTTTAAATATATATATGTATAAATCTTGCAAAGAAAAGGTTCTAAGATTTTCTCAAAATTTGAGGCCCTGGGGCATGTTTCTTATATTATAACGTGAGTCTGCTTTTCTTCATCCCTGCTTCTGTTTCTTTGCCGTGTGGACAGCAGAAGAATCGCATGGCCTGGTTGATTTCTTAGAACAAGGCTTCACAGGCCCCTTTTCATCATCATTTCCTTCTTTAGCGTTCATTATCTCCATGATCAGTCTCGCCTTTCTTGGCTTCATCTGCTCCTTAGTTCCACCTTCAACATCTTTCCCTGAGTTGTTGTTGTTGTTACAAGGCATATCCTCATCTGTTTTCTTGCCTGCATCTCCGGGTTGTGAGCTTGTGATGCCCCTAGAAGCACAGTAGTTGCGATCAACGTTTCCCCATCTGAACATAGCGCTGAGTTTATGTTGTTCCAACGCCTCTACAAGAATATCCAACTCGTCGGTTGTGTACCTGTAAAGTAAACTCTTACTGTCCCACGGACAGGCACAGAGTTTCTTTACGTGGCTCAGACACGAGTATCGATCCGCAGAACATGAACATTGAACAGCGGAAAGATACAGATGAGCAATACATATACAGCATTCCCTCTTGCTAACATCATCATAACTCTTGTCCATCCTTTGCGATTTTAGTGAATTACCAAGGAACTCACGTCTGCGTTTCTCCTGCTTGACCCGTGACTACATAAAAGAGAGAAAAAGAAACAAAAACTTAAAAGAGCAAAAGGTAGTGAGCAAGTTCCCCACTCTAACGAGATTTTGGTGCATAATCTAAGGAATAAGACGGGCAGCAAAGAACGGTGAGCATACCTTAACCATGTCGGAAAATATCCCCTCCTTACCACAAGAATTATACCATCTCATATTGTCTGCTGTCTTTTTCTTGGACAATAAATATTCCTTGAGGGATTTCACGGCTTCCCTTGCAGCTCCTAATAACAGCTTATCATACGATATTAAAGATTTTCTACTCTTATCTTGATTCTGCTGAGCAGAAACATCCCCATGGGGCAACCAATCAAGGGGAGCAAAATTTACTTTCTCCAAACAGTTAAAGCCACAGTCAACGGTAGAGTAATGCGACCCTGGAAATGTAATAACATACTGGCCAGGGTTCTGGACACACCGGGTCACTGGTATACCCTCCATGCTCAACGCATATGGAGACATTATCATCACCTGCCAAATGAAATGGCTTCCCTTGTAAAATGAACCGCAACTATAAGTATTTAAAAGCTCACTAAAAGTCATTAAAAAGTTACGGTAGGTTTTGCTTTGAACAGATAATTTCAAATACTGTGTAATTTCTCTTTGGCGTGCCATGATTGTTTATGCTGAACAAAAACAATATAACACGTGCAATCATTGTTGGTCACTCTTCTGTCAATCATTTTTCTTGAGTTTTGAAAAGAGTAACTTGCATCGATGCTAAATATGTTTAAGCAATTACAGGATGACTCACCTTTGACTGTTCTCCTGACATCTCAGGGAATAAGCTCTTCATGGTAGACATAAACTTAGAACGATGACATCCTGCAACCGAATACCAAACTCTAGGAGCACCCATATGCATATAGCAGAGCGAGTAAAGTCTCTCCTTCTCAGATTTCTGTTCAGCAACAAAAAATTCCAGGAGACAAATGTGAGATTATACAAGCAAATTATATTGCAAATTTTTTTCTATTGATAGCTTGCAAAATAGATGCTACTTCTGGGTTCACCAGTTCTTGTTATGCTTACAGAAAATAACGAAATAGCTTGACATCAACTTTAAAACTTACCCACAACTGCGAAGAGAAGCACATTCCTACACTTAGGCGAGGGACACAAATTGATTCGCAGTCTTCAAAAGAAAGAAGAGAGCCAGGAAGCTTAGCTGTATTGTTCAGATTCCATCCTGATGTTTTGTAGTTGCAAGATTCGGATGGTCCAGATAAGGGAAATCCACTGCCAAACTTTGTGGTGTCTAGATCATTGCCATAAAGCACCTAATTTATACCACAAGTTAGTGCTATAGCCCTTTTCATATATACGAGTAATAGACTTGATTTTAACATTACCCCAATTTCAACAAGTGGATTCTCAACAAGTTGTCTATACTCTTTTTCAATGTCTTCGGTGGTTGGCTCTGGTTTTAGTGATGGAGATGAATCCTTGGAACTCAAAACCTCATCCTTTAGGCTAAAATGCTCCTTCTTGCGTGAATCTGCAAAGTTTTTAAAGCTCTCCAAAGTATGCATAAAACCGCGCTCCATTCTATAAAACTTGATCGTCTCAGATGTATCATCATCACTATCCGCATCAGCCTCCTTTTTAATATTTGGGTCCTCGATATGAAATCCATCAACGAGCTGAACTTGAGTGACAAATTTGGAAGCCTCCCATATTTTTTTCTCCTCGAGAAGACATGGAGGTTTCCATGAAGGAGGAGGAACAACACAACAGATCCCATAAGGCTCAGCTTTGTCCCGCAAGCTTGCAATATATGACAAGGTGTCACTGAATTCCTGATGATTCAGTAATTATGGGTTACAAAATAAGGAACATATTCCTCAGTAAGCATATAATGATTGTTTACCAAAAATGACGTAAAATCAGTTTAATACCCTCATTTGTCTTTTTATCAAAGCAAAGGAAAACTAACCTCCTCGGTTGGGTTAAACACCGGAGCTTCCTCAAGGACTACGTTCTTGGAGACTTTCGGTACCCGTCTTGCCCGTACCTGTGAAACAATTTGTATGCAAAAGACTCAACATACAATCTTGATACTAGCCATCACTTAACACACATTCCAGAAAATCTCCAGCTTGTAAATCAAAGAATGTTTTTGATAGACAAAAAAACATAGAATGTTTCTAGCAACATGCTTGGATGTCCATGTTACAAGGGTGAGAAATGATCGCCTAAACAAGCATAATGCTAGAAACAGATCCACATATATGCATGAGTGTACGTGTGTATAATAAGAAAAACTATTCTAAGAAAGGAAAGAGGTAGTAGACAAAGTTATGGGACCTCAGATTTCATTGGCTTTAAGGCCTCTGAGCTGGGAGTTGTGTGATTGTGCAATATCCACGGTCGGTTTGTAAGAAACATCTTGAAACTATCTGCATCATCTGTGCCGAATCCAGTTATCTGGTCTTGTCCCAGCACCGACCTGGAACTTTCTCTGTCTCGGTGTACATTCCTCAGCACAAACGATGTTTGAGAAACAAAACCTGGTGGAGTTGACAATTTGTCCATATTTCCAGATTTTGAATATGTGTGCCCACCTTCAATGCCCATTAACAGATTATTTTCCGGAAGAGGAAATAAACTGAATCTCAGAATAGGTCAAGAAAGCTGCAACGTCCTGGAGAAGATGGAAAAAAAATTAATGTCAATAATAAACCAAGTGACAAAACATAGTAACTAGGATAACTTGATCGGCTAGAAAAATGATGGAGTGTCAAGAAAAAACTGCATTACAGAAGATTCAATAACGATAATCTAATGCAGAGAGTATAATCATATTTAGCACCAATATTAAACATCACAAAGAACACAGAAGGAGAAACATTTAGAAGATGTTTTCTTGGTTAGTCTTGGAACCTTACTCCTACGGAACAAGACAACTATATTGGACAAAATACCATTAGGTATCATCTAAACTTTCAAACTGTTGAAGACGAATCGTTCTTGCTTCCTTGAAATTATCAAAAGTATCGATTTGCGGAACAGTCTTGGATATTCAAAAGCCAATCTTTACCCGTAAATCGTTCTTGATTCCTCAAAATTAAACCCCTTTCAAGAGATTCACTAAAGGAAACTCCTTTTCAAATCACAGAATGTGATCCGACGCATGCAAATTATTAGCAAAGTTTGATCCTTAGCTCGAAATAAGACGCTTTTCGTATAAATATCGGATCTTAGAATACAAAATCTAACCAAAAATTGGGAGACGAAAAACCTAAAATTGTAATTGTTTGGCCATCGAAAAGTTCAAATATTTAAGACGAGAAGCAAGTACGAACACATACCCAGGCGAACTGAGATCCGAAAACTTCCAGACATTACCGAAGCAATTGCCTCTGGATTTTGTTAATTGAGAACTGATATATATTGGGGTTTGTCCTTTTTTATTATATTGTATTTTCCGTCGTAAATAGCTAATTTTAAGTCCAGTTTTTGATTTTCGATGCAAGTGACCCTTCATCTTTTCTATTTTTGTTTTTTTTTTTCTTTAAATTATTTGATTTCATGCGATATATTTACTTAATTAGAGATATGAGTCCTTTTTTATTCGATTATGGCGGTTAACTAGAGTCTTTTTTCAAAGTAAAGGTTCTTTTCTTCAAAATATAGTTAATCTGTTGTTATATTACGACGCTTTATTAATTACTTATACTTAATTAAAAATATTTATTTCGCACATTTTTTCCGACAACCAATTGAAATAACATAATGTATAGTTCCTTGGTTGCATATATACATATTCAATGGAATAATGTATGAGTAGTTAAATAATCAGTATAGTTTTCTTTCTGACAACAATTAATCATAGATTGATCTCAAAGATTAAGGGGTAACTAATTAGTTTACAACCAAACCCTTATAAGGTTTTATTAGAAAGACCACAAGCAAACTCTTAAGTCGTACAAATCTTTCTAGAAAGTATAAATTATAAATGGACATTTTATATATTGTTTACTAAATTTATAAATTCTCATCTGTGAGCAATATTATTAGCCACATAAAAGAAGAATATCCATAGAGATGAAGCCATAATGTATTTTATGTGATGCCTTATCTGTGTTGAGTCGGGTTGTAGAAGTCTAAATTAAATCTTCAATCTAGGGATTGACCAATTAAGCTGAGACATCAGATATCTGATCTGAAATCGATTCATGAAACTTTTAATTAATTTCTATAGCATTGAGATCTCACAGAGTACAACTTGAGTCGCTAGAGACAAGAAGAAAAGAGAAGCAAACAATTACAAAAGGCGTATTGTCACCTAAACTATTGGGACCGTTCTATTATCATTGTTGCTGGTCTCATTTTCCTCATTTTCACCGGACATTTCCTCCAGTGACTTCCCTTTCGATTCAGGCACCAAGAAAGTGAATACAATACCCAAAAAGTTAACCACGCCTAACACAATAAGCGAGTTCCTGACCCCAATCCCTGGAGGATATCCTGCATCTGTCTTGGTCTTGTCTGGACTCTGCGCCAAGTACAAGAACCCGAACGCACCAACCATTGCTCCTAACTTGCCTGATGCTGCAGATATACCATGGCAAGTGGATCTGAACCTGGCCGGGAAAATCTCAGCCGGCACAACAAAGGTCGTAGCATTGGGTCCAAAGTTGGCGAAAAAGAATGTCAAGGAGTACATGACTACGAATCCGATTCGATTCTCCTTGTGAGTCCAATGGTTGTAAGGAATAGCAAGAGCAAACATAAAGACCGTCATGAAAAAGAATCCCATAAGCTGAATCGCAAATCTTCCAATGACGTCGATAAACGCAACTGTGAACCAGTAACCAGGCACCGTGCTACACAAGGCAATGAGGGTTTGAGCACGAGCAATCTTGAAAACTTCTTGAATCGCATTCATGGTTTGAGCCGGAGGAATCCACCCGATCGCACTGAAAATATCCTTCTGGAAAAGGTTTTGACTGTAGAAAGCAATGTCGAGAAGGAACCATGTTGATGTAGTTCCAAGCAAATGAAGTCCATGTCGTCTCATGAATTCCTTGGAAAACAAGGAAAAGGTTTTGGACTTATCTTTCGAGGTCTCTTCCATTTTCTGCTGTTCTGGCTCTATCTCCATTTGTAGAACCTTAGACATGTCTGAAGCCGCTTGCTTTGCGTCCTTAGCAACCAAAGCTGTGTATCTTGCGGTTTCAGGCATCTTCGACCTCGAGTAATACGTCATTGCCGCAGGAATAGCACCAACCATCAAGATTATACGCCAAACCAAATCCGCTTGAGGAACCGTGGAACCCAAGGCATCATCAGCATAGGCTGGTGCAGGGAACTTAGCATCAAAAGCAGAGGAAATAATGAGAGCGAAAATGCCACCAGCCATGATTCCAAACCCTTGCATAGCGAAAACCGCAGCGATAAACGCACCACGAGTCTTCTTGTTAGCGTACTCAGACATGATCGTTGCGGATAAAGGGTAGTCACCACCAATCCCAAACCCTAGCCAAAACCTAAAAAAGCAGAGCGTGGCCATCACAGCTTTTGGCTCGTGCCCGAAAGAGAGACCAGAGGCTATGGAGCAGAGGACCATGACCATCAACGTCATGCCGTAAACTTTCTTCCTCCCGAGCTTATCACCGAGCCACCCGAAAAAGAGCTGACCAGCGAGCGTGCCACAGAAGGCGACACCGTTGACTGCGGCTGCGACATTTGGAGGGAGAGTCCCAGGTTTCTGTGAGCCTTCCACGTGGTAGTATATGCGGCCGAGGAGCTTCGTGACGAGAGAGATACAGAAGAGATCGTAAGCATCGGTGAAGAATCCCATTCCAGCGATTATGATCGCTGTGAAATGATACCATTGCGTCTTCGCAACATCAAGTGCGTTCAACACTTGTAACTGATCCCTCGCCATTCTGTTTCTCCTCTGTAATTTCATCCAGATAAATTGTATTAGTAACATAACCTTGTAGTTTTGGGAGTAAATTTTTCAAATAATTAATAAAAAGAAAAAATCTTTCATTTAACTTTGGATGTGAAGAAAAGAAAGATTATTTATTACAAACACTAAAGCAGTTACCTAACTTGGAACTAAAGTTAGGCAATTCTGAAAGCAAATAGAACTAAACCATTAGACCCCACTGGAAATTGCATGTAACATTAATAGTATAAGAATTTTATTTTATTTTTTCTCATTTCTTTGATCTCACAATTACAACCCATAAAGTATGTTGACCAAAATTGAAGTAAGTTAACTGGCGATTAACTAATTTACATGTCTATACTTCATTTAGAAATACAAAAATAATGTAATGATGTTAAAAGTCAACTCCAATTTTTAGAGAAATAATTGTTAAAACTTATTTTTCAGACATGACAAAAATAAAATATGTTTTAGTAATAATTCAAATTATTGATTCCTAAAAGAAAACAAATAAATATTGGTTCCTGTTTTTTTGGGTTTCTTTACCCCGACGGAACCAGTTCTTTAATGAAAAAAATGAGGAAATGGGAGGTCCATAATATTTTTATATGAAGTTTCAACGATTACTATTTTGTCTTCGCTGCATACAGTTACCAACAAAGGTTGACTTATGACGTGTGAATCTGAACACGCGGCTACAAACTCGTAATAAGTGCGAGTAAGACAGTGAGTTGTTTTGTCTAAAATTGCGGATACACCTATTCTAACTACATATTTCTTCTTATTAAAAAAATTACCTTTTATTTATTGAAGTAAAATTATTTGCAAGCCTTTTTTTATATTCGGTTATTAATTTGTTAGTCAATAATCATGCACTAAAAAAGAAAGTTTCAAGAGAACTATTCCTAATTTATGAATATTCAATTTTTCTCGTTGCTAAAATAATCCAAGAAAATTGGGTAAACAAAGTTGATTGAAAACTTTTTTAAAAAAGCAATAGTAAGAGTAAACACGAGCAAATGAAGCTCAGGTTGATCGCAGATCAGTAGTGACAAGACAAAAACAGAGAATGAAGAAAGAGGCAGAGAGGACCAGAAAACCTAAAAAACGAGAGTACCGCCCTATGTCCTAAGTCTAACAAACATCATTTTGCACCCAAACAAAGAAAAATACGTTATATTGCATTCATATAAGGAAAAAAAAAAAAGGAAAGATCAAATTATACATAAATTACAAGAAAAGACTTACGTGACTACAGGACAATCTTCTTCTACGTGTGTGGGATCTGATCTGATCAAGTGTTATACGTATTTGTCAGAAGAGTGTAGAGAAAGAGAGAGAGAGATAGGATCTTTAATTTCCTTTATTTCTGGGAAAATGTAGTGAGAGTGAGAGAGAGAGAGAGAAAGGAAGTGGAATGAGCGTTGACGCTGCCGATGAACAAAGACAGAGTGCAATCGTTTTGAAACGGCCATTTATAAGCGACTCTATATGAGATATTCCATTTTCTGTTTCGGTATATTCTCCCTCCAACGACGTCGCTTTGTTATCTTCATTGTTTTTCTTTCTTCTTAACCATCTTTTTTACTTCGTTTAGGTATTATTAGGACAGGATGCTTTTGTTTTGCTGTAATTTCATTTATTACCTAAAAATTAGCTGTTCCACTATAATAGTAAGCTCCATTTTTACTCGTAATTGACCATGAATTGTTTTTTTTTTTGTTTTTTTGATACGTGAGCTTAATAAATTCTTTTATTTTAAATTTTGGGATCTTCGTCATTTAATACAATCACTAGATACATATTACCTGGCATGCGGTTTAGGCAGAAATAAGTTACAAATACTATTAGTAGTAGTCAACTGTGGTAATTCGTTTCTTTAATAAAAAAAAACTAATGATAATAAACTGAATCGAGTTAGCACTTAGCAGTGTGGTCAAACTTTGATTCTTTTTTTAATAAAAAAACTTCTTTTTGTCAAATTCGTAATCGTCATTTAATTGAAAATATATGCACTATTTTTTATAACACGCTATTGTGTGTATATATATATATAAATTTGAAAACTCAGTTGACGTGAATAGATTTATTTAGAAGAAAACAAAAAAGTATACAATACTTATTTTCCTGACAAATTATACCCCCAAAAAAAAAACTGAACATGATTTTTTTGTTTAAGGATATTTGTATATAACTTTTTTTTATTAAATAAGCAATAACTGCATGATGTGTATATCTACATGAGACACAGACTACAATGTCATGGTATTTATTCTAATGTATTGTAATGGTCTGTTTCGTGTTTGATAAGTAAGAGCCTTCAAGGCATTTCCAGACTACCTTGCTTTAGCCCAGCAACTCAGCAAGTTACTTCCCTTCCGTGACCCAACAATTTCATCCATTTTTTTTGTTTATGACATACTCAATTTCCATCCTTTATTATGTAATTAATGATATACAACAATACAACAATATAGTAAAGCTCTATTTATAATGTCTTTCACGTGAAAT